TGATTAAGGAAATATTTGAAGGCGAAAAAGATTATACTTAATTAAAATGAGAATCTACGCTTAAATTATGTGTTTAAAATAAATCTTCAAACTATTCACTCAAATGAGATTTCAAGATACAATGACACGTGGACGAATTCCTATTCAAATGATAATTTATTTTCAAAAAATTACTGCAATCCTATACCTTGACATAGCATATTCTGAAATTTTATAAGCTCGGGCAGACCGGCTTGCAACAGTTGGAGCATAAATGCTACAGATTATCTCATCAACAGAAATCCAACATTTGTCATCCAAACGTGGCCAGTAAAACAAATTACTAGCAGTCTCATTCTTACTCATAAATTTAACATAAACATCTGAAAACTCAGTGGATCGATCAGTAATAAGACCAACATAATTCTGAAAATCATATATACATATAACATACTGACCAACCGAGCATTCATCAGCTTGTGGTACAGATACATTAGGTGTAAAAAAAGTAAAGGTTGTCACAGCAACATCCTGTGATAGCCTTTTCATTTCCAGAGTGTGCTCTGAAACAGGTCTGAAAAGGTGGTGGGATCTGGTCCCCGGAACGGTTTGACCTTTACTGAACCGTTCATTTAAGTTAAAGACTTTATAATTTTCCTTAACATCTTCTTCAGTTAAATATATAAAGTCAATCCCAGCAATGTTTTTGTTACACCACTCAAACATTTCATAAGGAGAAAGTATTTGTTTCATCCCCTCAAACACAGCCTGAAGGCTTGCCCTTGCTACCAGCCTTTTCACATTTCCACCTATCCCATCACAGGGGCTTTTGCCATGACTAGTAGCAAAAAAGTGCCATTCAGCACCAAGTCCAAAGTCAAGCTCATGATAACAGAGATTTAAAAGGTTTTTATAATTTTTATATTGGCTTGCAGCTCCATCACTAAAGTATTCAGCTTTTTGATTTGTGGTAGTTTAGTTTTAATTAGTTTTTTAATTACATTACCTATGAAGGAATGAACTGTTGTCGTATTATGTTTCATACAATTTGATATAACAGTGCATGAATATGATGTTAGTTCCCCCTCACTGTTAATATAATAGATAACAAAAGGATGCAAAGTTGCTTGGGAATTGTCCCAATGAACACCTTGAACGGCGTCTTGAACAAGGAAAGAATAGTTGTTCTGCAAAATCAAGTAATACTATAGCTTCATCTTCTGCGAGGCTTTCTTTAATGCCCCTTAAATACCCTGACTGGGCCTTTGCTGTGAAGTGATGGGACCTTAATACATCTAGTGCATCTACCAAGGTATCTACAAAATCTGATACTGAACACTGTGTTGTTACTATGGTTGTCCTGTCTGTAAATGCCCATTGGCGAAATGTAATGTCATCATCAACATCAAATTCCTGGTCAAAGAAAGTCTGCAACACTCTTTCCCTAACATGCTCTTGGCCGGGACAAGACTCACAACTACGCATCATGCAATCCCGGTTTTTTATGTCACACACAAAACCTTTAAGTAATTCGACGTAATAGTCATTAGACTTTTCACGTATTGGTATAGCTGCAGACAAGAGTTTTACATTTTGGTGGTATTGACAAACACAGACGTTATGCGTCCCCTTGCTACCAACAGTTACATACCATTTTGGCCTTAACTCACAAAATTTGGAGAATCCTATTTTATTACCAGTGACTTGCTTATACTCTTCATAAAGTTCTTTTAAGTTTGCCAAGAGGAGATGTTTTTGTTTAATTTCTTTTTCACCAGCTGCATTTCGAATTGTTACTTTATCTTTTTGCCCTGGTAGGCATCGTGAAAACTCACTATTGACATAAAAGTCTTCTACACTTTTAACTAAGTCGGCACTTAAACCCCTTCCCTTAAAATGATTTGGCTCACCTAAAATTCCTTTACCTTGCCTTACCTTGTTAGATTGTCTAATCATGTAATCTGTCACCCCAGGAAATGTTACTTGGATGTGTTTGGGGAACATTGTTAGAATTTTTATTTTTTCATTTCTAGTGGATGTTACAAATTTCTTTTTTAAATCTGTAAGAACATTATCTAAAACCTCTTCTTTTTCAGTACAATTAAAGTCATTCACTGGGATTTCAAACACTTCAGACATTTTAGCTTGAATTGCATTCAATATTTCCTTTGATTTTGCTTTACAGTATACAATATTTGACTTTGATGAACATTTAAGAGGGATAAGGTTTAAAGATGTTAAAATAGAATTTAAAGTAGCTTTGTCAGTATGTGGATCAGTGTAGCTTTCTCCATGCCTTTCATTATCGTTACTGTTGTCATTCTTCTCTGTCAGCATCTTCACACAGTTGGTGCATATTTTCTTTCCAACCATAAGATCATGTTCTTCTGCAAAATCTGGCTTAATAACTCGTACCCGAGCTGAAACAGACAAAATGTTATTTAGTTATTTTCATATTTTTAAATTCTCTGTATAGATTTGTGCCTAGCATGTGCATAAGCCTACTTTAGTTCACTATCAGTAATATTTAAAAATTGTATTTGTAGTATGCCTGTTTATAATTAGTGTATATTTTATATTTTTAAATGTTAATACTGAAAAAAAAAATACTCAGACATGCTAATGCACCACAAGCATTTTCAGTAGCCCTACATTAATATCCATATATAATTATTACTAAATAAGCTTTTGAAACTTACGTGCTATCTATCACTAAATACTCTACTGTACTTTGAAATGTGGTAAAACGTACCAGTTACTCGCTTTCTATGCCTTTACCCTGGATCGCAGCAATAATTATGAATACTAGTATATTTTGTAAGATACTGCGCATGATGATGGTGACAAATTGACTTGTCTCCACCAAATTCTTCTACGTTACTTCTTAACTGCAGGTATTTCACTTCATCATCAGACAGTTCCTCGATATCCACGAGCCCAAATTTTTTCCGTACATATACAGTCCGTGTACAATCATCACCCAAACTCTTCCCTATAAAACACTGCTTCTCTGACAGATCTGTCATGCTGTCCACCTTATAGACATGCAATGAATTGTGCTATGCAATATGCATTTATATTTTTTAAAAACACTTTTTGATTGATGCGATTTCATTGGTTGAAAGTTTAGCAATCATGCTGTTTGCACATAGCTAACTGTGAACTTAAAGTTATGATGGAAATTTCCTTACAAATACAGAACATATACACTGCAATGTACAAGTAGGCACCTACAGTATGTATATCAAAGCTAAATAGTTTTATTGTACATGTCATCACAAAATAAAATTGAATTTGAATATATTTAATAGGCCCACTAATTTTCTTGTTAATTACCCAATGTTAAAACAATTTTTATATAAAATGATTTTAACTAAAAATAACTAAATATAGTTAAATATTTGAATACATCAACCTAATTATGGAATTTAAATTGATTACCATAAATTTTCTGTTTATACATTTTTTTATAATTGAAAAGGAAAATTATGCTAATTAATGTAAATTAAGATAATTTGGTTAAGATTGTAATAAAACATAATTACAGAAATATTTTGGTACAAACTGTAGTGTTAGTTTAGCATATGCTAAAAATATATATATATTAAATTTCAAGAATAGACATTTGACAGCCAAAAATTTGTGATTATGTGTAATTCTGACGTGTAAAATACCGGTATGTCAAAAAGATGATAAATATAAAATAATATTCTTAATATTCTGATTGAAACATTTGTTGAAATTGATCATGCCAAACTTTCAAGTTAAAGTTTCAAAATCCACATTGGGTTCTACCACCAAACGCGACTACCCTTATTTCTCAAATTTCTGGCGGGACCATAATGGGAGGCATCTATTGGATAGCATTTATGCTTGGTTTATATCCATATTTAATTTACCTATACAGAGGTTAGTAGGGTGTAAGAAATCAAAAACAGTTTTGGGTTAGGCCTTCTATTTTTGAGATATGGGTGAGCAAAAATTGGTGAAAGCCTGGTCACGTTCATTCTGAAACCATATTTGACAGAGCATAATTCAAAAAATATTTTTCTAAGTTATTATTTAAATGCAGAATCTGATTCTACACAAAAATTTCAGCATGTATTGTGATATTTAGCTTTTTAGGTGACCTAGAAAAAAAGTTATGACATTTCAAAAATCAAAGAATCAAAATAACGACCACATCGGCAGTGATTATTTGTAATTTTGACCTGTAAAACATTTCAAGAAGATGGTAAATATACAATAATGTTTTTAATATTATGATTGTAACATATATTGAACTTGATATTTCAAAATCCACATTCGGTTCTACCACCAAATGCGACTACCCTTATTTCTCAAATTTCTGGCTGGACCATAATGGGAGGCACCTATTGGGTAGTATTTATGCTTGGTTTATGCCCATATTTACTTTACTTAAACAGAAGTTAGTAGGGTACAAGAAATCAAAAACAGTTTTGGGTTAGATCTTCTAGTGTTTGAGATATGGGCAAGCAAAAATTGCTGAAAGCCTGGTCACGTTCATTCTGAAGCCATGTTTTATAGTGCATAATTCAAAAAGTATTTTTCTAAGTAATTATTTTAATGCAGAATCTGAATCTACACAAAAAGCTGAGCAAGTACTGTGATTTTTAGCTTTGTAGGTGACCTAGAAAAAAAGTTATGACACTTCAAAAATCAAAGAATCCAAATAACGATGTCGTCGGCGGCTCTAATGGGTGCCACGCCCCCTTTTTTGGACACCGGTATCTCGTAAAGTATTGGTCCGATTGAGCTGAAATTTCGGATTTTTCTTAGTTACTAAAGTTAAACAAACCATGAAAATTTAAACAAAATCCGAGACGGTGACTTCCGCGGCCACGTTGAATTGGCATGGAATGACCTAAACGGACAACTTGTCAAACTTATGTCATTTAATTTTTAGGGTGATAATAGCAACGTTGCATTATAATGAAAATGCAGGCAGAATTGCTTTGAAAGATGGAAAAGGAAATGACAGATACTCTGTAGTTTATTCAAGATCTAAAAGTGGTGGATATACATTGCAAAAAGTGTTGACTGAGGCTACTTATGGTAAGCTTAACTTGAAAATTTTTAGTTGCTTATGAAAATGTAGTTAAGTCATGTGATCTTTCAATACAATTTAAACTCCAAAACGTTTGTTTACAGATTATGTTGATGAACTTATAGCAGAGGCAATCCAGCTGTGTAGCAGTGGGACGAAAGACCTACAACTCTCCATTCCACAACTCAGTTCTCCACCACCACCTGTTTGTTCAGCCTTTAGCAGAACAGAGAAAGATGTAGCAATAGCTAAACATCTGTCAAGATTTACCAGTCTCACATAAACAAGACACTCAAACCAAAAGGCTCTTTTCAGAGCCATTATTTAACAAAAGAGAAGCAATTATATAGTCTGTGTTTGTTTTGGTTTTTTTTTTTTCATTTAATTTATTCACACACATACACATACATATTACTGCACAAAGAAAATACTTAATAGTAAAAAGAAATAATAAGAATAATAATAAGTGTGTGGAAAGAGGCCAAAATAAGTTTAGAATCAAACTTTAAGCCATGACCACCAGTTAAAATTATATTATATTATTAAATAAAATTTAATAATAAATAAATAATAAAAGTTGAATTAGGGCAGTGTGCCAATTATTCATTAATTTTACCAAAATGTCAAGTTTACAAACAAGCACATAGCATACACAATACAGTAATTATAATGAACTACAGGAATTTTGTTCTGTTAGGCTGATGGGAAAGATTACTGATAAGAAGCAAATTAAGTTTAATTTTAGAGACTACCATTTTATACCATTCGAAGATGATGCAAATGAATTTAGAGAAGCAGGAGCAGCTACAAATACAGACGAAGACATTGCGCAGACCGTCATATGCTTTGAATACCAAGTGGTAAGAAATTAAGTTTATTTACCCGCTGCTCGGTTATATTCATCAGTGGAAATTTACACTATAAAATTTATAATTATATTTCTTCTAACTTTCCTAATTTGAATCCTGTGTAACCCTCTTCTTCTGGGTTTGGAAATGCCTTGCATATCTTAAGCACAGCACAGGCTGGTAGAGCAACTCTGTTGAGTCTGCCTAAATAGCATAGCAGAAGCGGACCAGATTTCTGTATGCAATGTGTCTGTATTGCCTGTGAAAGTAAATATCAGATATAAATACAGTAACAATATCATACATTTACATATTATACCAATAACTTTTCCCCAATCATCCTACCTTTCAGTATGCAACAGCATAAACTTTTTGAAACTTGTTTTAATACAAGACCAAATAAAATTAATTGTCTGTTTCACGTGACAGAATTAGAAATTATTTTTTGGTGTGGGTATTTGCTACTAAAAGAAGTAAAATGAATCTTTGTAATGTATTTCTGCCATATGTTCACACCCCTTCTTAGGATAGACATCATTCTTTCAGATACTAATTTTGTTTATTGTCCATGGAAAAATTAGTTTTTTATTTTTAAATAGCGAATAATAAATTTTTTCATGAGACGGGGATGTGAAACTAAAGTAGTTTTATTTGGCCTAGCACATTAATAAATTTTATTAAAAGGTTAATCAGAATTACTTACTCTTCTCTTGAATGTGGTAACACGGCTCGCACCCCATACTGCTGCCGATACGATAAGTAGGTAAGCTGTAACACCCATTCATTTAAACAAACATGTTCAAATCCAGGATGAGATGTTATACATCCACCTTGCATACCAGCACGGACCATCTTGTCTTGCATCTGTTTATATTCCATGCAGCATTTTGACTCTTTCATTGTAGGCATTATGCCACACCTTGTGCACAAACACCTGCAAGAAATCCGTTCATTTAGTGCTGAGTAGGGCTAGGCCTAGGCTACATTTTAAAACGCAAACATCGGTGCGAACTAGTCAGGACCCTTGACGGCCTACAGATGTACTTTTAAATGTCTAACCCTAGGCCTACCCCTACCCCAGCCTGTATATATAGGCATAGGCCTACAGTAGGCCTACTTATTTAATAAAAACTCCCCGTGGCTTTCTATAAAAAAAAACGTGCCTTGGCCTAGCCTAGGCCTACTCTATTATTATCATTATTAATTAGGTAGGCCTAGGCAAAACCTCCCTAATATACGTGTACACTAGGATGGGTGATAAAGGTCGAACAAAATTTAGGCTTATGTTAAAATAAACATGCATTATCGTAAAGGTAGAAATCAAGTTTCTATGCCTATGGGCCTACGCCGAGATGTAGTGCATCAAGAGAGCGAGAACGTCTCCCATACCTAAACAGGGGGTGGGCGTATGATAGGCACTTCGCGCCAATTTCTTACCACTCGGTATTCAAAAGCCTACGAATGCCTACGCCAATGTCTTCGTCTGTATTTGTAGCTTCTTCCTCTCTATATTCTGGTTCAAATAAATAAGCGTTTGTACCAACGTTATCCTCTTCGTTTCATTTACATCCTCTTCGAACGACGACAAGACCAGTCTAAATTTAAACTTAATTCACTATCTGAATTTCCCTCCGCCATCGCGTTAATTGCATTCGTTGTATGAGAGCTAGAAGTTTGTGAATGGCATCGTCTTTGGTTGGGGGCGTGATGACGTATTAACTTGACCTTGGCGATTTTTAAGATTTGGCAAAATCGAAAAATCGAGCATTTTTTAAAGTTGTTTTTAATGAGCAAGATAGTTCATTTAAGGTCTTCAAGCGCGATTTATTAATCATTAGTATGTAATCATTTTCTTATGATATAAATTATTATAGTTCAGCTTGTCAGACGGTCTTTAAGGTCAGCGAATGCTTCACTAAACAAACAGGCATAATCATACAGGAGAAAGCTAACCCTCTGTGCATAACACGATATAACGCCTGAGATTAGGTTCCTTTAATCAATTAACTAATTCCATGGTTTTTAATTGTATGTGAGTACAATTAAACAAGTTAACAATTTAGTATCAAAAGAAATATAAACTTCCTATTTAGAGCCGTTTACTCCTAATCATATCAGTATAAAACCATAAAACATCACTGTGAAGCACCGATTATATATTCACATGACAGTAACATTATTGCCATTATATTGTCATTATTCATGTTAAAATACATTAAACGACCATAAAGAAATCATGATTAAATGGACTAAGTTAAATCTAAATATAAAATCTGTGGTTACTGTACTCTAGCTATAGTCCAGCATTCCAGAGACAGCACCCATGAACAGGGTCATTGTGACCTTGCATGGTAAACTAATCATCTACAATAAATCTTGGCCTGCTGGCACTTAAAACAAAGCACTGGGCTATTCAATGAAAAATAAACTATTATTTCTTTAAAATAAAGCATGATTAATACAAGTTAAAACATAAAAATATGACAAATGGTGTCTTAAGATGTAAAACATTGGATAAAGGATTATGACATACCTGTATAAATGGATTTAAAGGGAAAACTATTGATTAGTTTTCTCAGATGATAATGAAGATTATGACTCAGCAACAACATGTGATATAATGACAGTGGGCCAATTCGGACGAGTAAAATTTAACTGGGTACCACCAGCTGAGCAGTCGCGTGCGGCAATTAAATAATGCCCCTGGGTATAGAAAATTAGAAAAACATCTGGCCCAAAAACCCACCTTTTTTACTGGATATTTCAATTACACCTTGCCTCAAGGTGTAATTAATCACTCGTAACAAGGCCCAGGTCACAAGTTGACCCTTCAGATTTGTAAACAACACCGGGTCAGAGTGCACTGGACAAAAAGAAGCTCGCGACCACGCTGCATGATTCTTCGCGTTGTTGCCCAAGCTTTCTTTCCACGCTGGTCATGTGTATAAGAGA